TAAAAGAGTCACTGAGGAGCTGGTGTCAACAACCCACACGGGTGCCAGTCCAAGTCCCAGCTGCTCCACTTCCTATCCAGCTCCCTGCTTAAAACACGGGAAGGCGGCAGAGGATGGACAAGTCCTTGGGCCCCTGCGTTCCTGTGGGAGACCCAGAAGAGGCTCCTAATGGGATCAGCTCCACCACTGCAGCCATCTGGGTGATGAACTAGCAGACAGATCAGACAAAAACAATAACTCCTTAAAAAAAAAAAAAGCAATTTAAGTGGTCTTAATTCTTCAAATTATCTTTCCCACTTGTCTCTATCTAGCACTTCAGAGGCCCCTTTCTTGAAATCTTCAGTAGCAGCACTGCTCTTGACCTTTAACCACTTAAATGCATTTCCCTCCCAAGAGAAGTTAAAGCATTCTTGCCTGTCCAAAGGCAGCCATCACGTGAGCACTTGCTGTGTATGGGTCAGAAGGGACCTTCCCGAGCAGTGTGCAGTGCCACCACATGCATCTCACTTCATTCTCAAGAGATTAATGGAAGGTAGGGAGCTGCTTTTATTATCACCACTTACAGATGAAGTCTGAGACAACAGCTAGTTTAGTATACTCAGGTTTTGTCCAAAAGCTCACAGAAAATAAAATGGTGCAGAAAAATTCCCTAAATCCATGGACTTTTCTCCTTGTACTTGTCATTAAGCCTCCTCATATGCATGCCTTTTCTTTTGCAAGGTGCAAAACGGCAAGTACTTGGGCCCCTGTCACCCACATGAGACAGGTAACAGTTGAGGGTCCTGGTCTTGGGATCTCCCAATCCTGGCCATTGGTCATATGGGGAGTGAACTAGCAGATGAGACCTCTGCCTTTTTCTTTAACACAAATAATCCCTCCCCACCCCCAGCATCCTTACCCAGATTCACACACACACACCCGTCCACCCCCCTCTGGGAAGGGCAATGCCTCAAGTGCCTCCATTCCTGCCATTTACAATTCCTAGATCCTGCCTTCAGCCTGGCCCAAACTGGCTGTTGTAGACACTGAATCAGCAGATGGAATAATTCCTTTCAAGGACATCAAAGAAACTTTAAACTTTAAACACTTAAAGAAACTTTTTTGGTAACAAAATATTAGCTTCAATTTACGTTTGGAAGCATCTTCATGTAACGAAGCTAGGATTCAAATCTGCACTGTTCCAAGCCCAAAGGCTTAACACTATACTGCTCCCTAACTGCTGGGAGAAGCAGCCAGAAGCCTGTCTCCCCATGGCATCTTGGATGTGAACTTCAAGGTCCTTTCCAGTTCATCAATTTGATCATGCATCTACTTACTAGTTACAAGATTTCAGTTCAATCAGCATGCTGACCTTCCCTTCAAGCTCCTCCTCAATAAAGGATCATCACATTGACCTTATTACTGATATCCTTTTCAATTATTTTCTGTCAATTACTGCCATATTCAAAAAGCACATGTGGCTGGCACTGTGGCAGTGGACCAAGACATCCATTGCAACGCTGGCATTCATCTAGAGAACTTCCAGTTCCCCAGATTTCAGGTCTGGCAAGTAAGATAGTGCCAACCCGGCCCTCGTGTGGGTAACTCGGATGGTAACAGAGCAACTTGGCTTTGGCCCCGCCTGGCAATGGCTGCTGGTGGCCATTGTGGGGTGAACCAGTGCTGGAAAATCTGTGTCAAAGACTCCTCTCACCCCCTACCTTTCAAACAATTAAATCTTAAAAACAAACCAAGAACTTGGACTTGGTTCAGGCAGCAAATTCAATGACACATGGTTAGTTTAACCTCTCCTTCCATTCTTCTCCCTTAGAATTGCAGCTCAGCGGAGTCAAGCAGTCACTTTAAATGACAGCGTCCAAATTCAAGTTCCTGCTACTGCAACCCAGGATAGCTCAGGTAGTTAGGGCCTTGTCACACATGTGGGAGACCTAGATCGAATTACTGGTTCCCAGACCTGGTTAGCCCAAGCACTTGACCCAGGGTTTTGTCTCCCAGCCTTATAAATTCAGTTCAACTGTTCACCAATGCTACTGTTATATTTCTAAACTTTCTTTTAGATTTTTATTGGAAAGGCCGACTTACAGAAAGGATATGAAGAGAAGGTCTTCCACTGTTGTTTCACTCCCCAAGTAAACAACAGCCAGGTGAGCCAATTTGAAGCCAGGAACTGGGAGTTTCCTCCGGTCTCCCATGTCGGTGGGCATGGGGCTGTAGACCTTGGGCCATCCCCTACCACTTTTCCAGGCCAATCAGGGAAGTGGAGCAGCCAGGACAAGAACCAGCACCCACACAGGATTGTGTGTGCAAGGGTAAGGATTTAGCCAATGAGTCAACACGCCAAGCCCTTCTAAGTGTGTTTAAAACTAGTAAGACCAAACTATGGTAGCCTTAAGAACTAATCAGTTTCAAATCAGCCCTATGGAGTAAGGTTAGTAGTTAACATAGGGACAATGCCAACTCAACCTTAGCACAGCTTATCCTCCCTGATAACATGTTCTAACTCCAAACTGCCCTTTTTTAGGTATTAAGCTGGTACTTGCCTACATAACACCATATACTGATCTCACAACTTTCTACAAGACACAATTCTAACATTTTCCAATGTACACACTTTTTCTACTTAGGAAACATCATGTTTGGCCCAGCAAAGTAGCCTACTGATTAAAGTCCTCACCTTGTATATACCAGGCAGGATACCATATTGGCACCAGTTCGTGTCCCAGCTGCTTCACTTCCCATCAATTCCCTGCTTGTGGCCTGAGAAAGCAACAGAGGATGGCCAAAAGCCTTGGGATCTTGCACCCACGTGGGAGACCCCGAAGAGCTCCTGGTTCCTGATTGGCTCAGCTCCAGCCATTGTGCTCACTTGGGGAGTGAGCCATCAGACCAAGATCTGTCTCTCTTCCTCTCTGTATACCCGCCTTTCCGATAAAAATAAATAAACCTTAAATATTACTTACCACACTACTCTAGTTTAAGTTTTCTCTGTAACATGCAAAGCTCTACCACCAAATGTCAGAATTATAAGCAACTGTTGAGGGCACCAATGTGGTACCAATTGCAGCACCAGCATCCCATGTGGGTGCTGGTCCATATCCTGGCTGTTATACTTCCAACCCAGCTCCTAGATAAGGAACTACAGAAAGCAATGGAAGATGTCCCATATGCTTGGGCCCCTGCCACACCCACGTGGGAGACACAGATGAAGCTCCTGGCTTTGATCTGGCTCAACCCTGACCACTCAAGGGACAGATCAAGATCTCTCTGTTAACTCTCCAAACAAATCTTAAACACCTTCCAATGCCCCCTTCTCTACCTCCCAGCAGATGGTGCCTCAAGGACATGAGCTCCTGCGGGAGACCACCAGAGTCTGTCTCGCATTGCAGCCATTTGAGGAATGAACCTGCAAACAGAAGGTCACTGTCCAATTTGTAGAATACTCATTGAAAACTTCCCAGGGAGTTTCACCCAAACTAATTTCCTTTTAATGAAATTATCAGTTGGTATAGGTTTAAAAGGTTAACAAATCTAGAAACTGATTCCTGAGGCAGTTTTCAAAAAAGAAAACCACTTCTCTTTCCCAAGAAACCTCCTCTACCACAAAATCTCACCCCCTACAATGTTTTGACACTTTGGTGCCCAGTACAGTAAAACAACTGCTTAGGATGCTCACACGCCCCACAAGCACTTAATGCCAGGAAACGAGATGACATCCAACTGCTTGGGCCCTGCACCACTTGGGAGACCCAGAGATCCCATCTTTGATCTGGCCCAGCCTCAGCACTTAACAAGATGAGAAAAACCCATCTGTGTATTGTCTCTGTAACTGCCCTCTCAAAACAAATCTTTTGGGAGGGGAGGAGGAAGACTGGTTAACAAAAAGCCTCACTACAAGGGAACAGGGCTTTCAAGTTTTTTTCCTATAATCTTCCAATCTAAGCCTACTAAGGGAGGTGTCATCCTAGTCTAGAAGTAAAAAAGAAATTACTCTCCATCTGAGTTATTTCTCCAAATTACTGAAGCAGGTATGTCTCAAAACTTTTTCCAGACACAGGCACTAATGTCAAAGACTGACAGCAAGCAATCCTGAAGTGTTGTGTCTGAACTGAGGCAAAACTAAGTGTGAGAAAAGTTCTACATCATGTATTTTCCATGTTTGTGAGTCGTTTTGTTCTAGTCTTGTGTTCTGGATAACTAAAGCCTGAGGTTATTAGGTGATAGACCTAGAAGGTATTTGGAATGTCTGTGAACCAAAGGAATTGTTGCACGGCCAAGACTGAGCATTATCAAAACTAATTTCAATGAATCCTTCTTAGAAACTCAAAGGTGCTAGCTACAACTGAATTTTTTCAATGTAACCAATGAACCTTTTAACAGGATGCAAATGTATAAAGCCAAATTAAACGCTACCAGATTTAGGTAAAAATATACTCCCACTTTTTCTTCAGCAACTTTTAATTATAAAAACCTTAAAAAATGAAAAATCAGAAGGCAAGTCTGGCAATACAAAAATATACAACTGGAAGAGATTACTACCAACTACATCTGACAACTTATTCCAAGTCCACATCCTAAAAATAAAAGCAAATTTAGAATATAAGCCAGTATGGCCAGAACTAGAACTCTTCCAAAATCAGAGCTGACCATTCTGGAAAGCTGACCCAAGGATCCCAAAACCTAGCTGTTTCAAACATCTCAATGGTCAATGTCAACTTCTGCAGCACTGTACTAAAACAAACCACAGCTCTACAACAAAAGCTACCAGGATTTCTCATCCAGATTATGGGCTGAGTGCAAACCACAACTGATTGCAATCTAACAGGTGGAGGTGCCATCCACAGATCCCACATCTTACCACAACTGGCAAGACCCTCAGGTGTATAAATGGTAGCAAAGTGCCAGCTCCAGGTCTTCACTACTTTATCTAATTGCTTTCAACATTTTAAGATGCTTTCAACTTTGTAAGAAGCAACCACAACGAAATGGAGAACCATGACAAATATTCTCAAAAAGCTCTTTAATGTTTACTTATCACTAAGTGATCTCCAATGGACACCTGTAATCATTACATACAAGTGATTCCACTTTGGGTATTATCCTCATCTCACAAGTTGGTTAGCCTGACCTGGGATTTCTACATTTTATAGTAGCTTTAAAACTTCAGCCAATCTAAATGTGCAATTTCCATGGTCCACATTTACCTTAAGCCATAAAATTGTTAGGGCTTCTGTAATTATACCTTAATGACCAAATTCAGGGTTAACTCCCTAATGAGGCCAACTTTACTTCAGTTACTTACTACTTATCAGCCACCTTCTACCCATGATCACTGTCCTTTATACCTTCCAATTTGAGAATCTCAAGCCCATTTATTAAGTGTACATACTTCCATTACTTCTTAACTAGCTTGGCTTGTTAACAATATAGGCCAACTGGATACAACCAGACAAGATTCAGAGCAAGTGCCCAGTCAACCAAATTCCAAGCCTAGTTTCTTCCTTCAAGACACGGAAGTACTAACACTCTTCCCATCAACCTTTCTGACATCAATTCTCTTCTCCCTTGCTATTTGGAAGGTTAACAAGACCAACTTGGAAAGTGTATATTTAGGATCTCTACCTTATAACATTGTAGAAATTGAGCTCTCAATGCAGTGAGACTCATTCTGTGTACTGAAGACAACTCAGTACAGCATCATCCAAAACTATCTTAAAGGAGCACATTTAAGGAAACTAAGCCACATGACTTTGCATTATGATTTAATCTAATTGCACAGAAATCTTGAAATTACAGCGCATCCCAATTTCTAAGAGGAAAGTGATGCATGCCTCCATATTCATGTCTGCACTGTTACATTTGAATCATATTGTGAATGTTACAATGTGATGAACCAGTCTAAAATTATCATGCAATACCTCAAATTATAAAATGGAAGCAATCTTTTTTAATACCTTGTGTTATGATTTCATGCTATCAATAAAGCCATTTTATAAAAAAATTTTTGGTAGGGGGTAGTGGGAGTTTAACAATGTACCAGGTTGCTGCTATAAAATGTTGGTCACTAATTTACCACACAAACTGTACTTACTTCAACTCCTTAAAAAAATTTAGTAAAATCTCCTTTGTCTCCAGACTATTCTATAATGCCTCATTTGTGTTTCTTGCAAGAATTTCATAACCAACTGCCTTCCATGGGATAAGAATAATGGTTAACTGTGGGTTTAACTATTACACAATTACACTAATATTTTATTAATTCAAAAGCACTTTACAAGAAAATATAAGTATGGCTTCCAATAGGAATGTTATACCTGGACTTTGTACCAGCTCAGAGATTTGAGTTTGCAAGGAAAAAGGCTTTCAAGTTAAAAAACAATTTGTAACCAAAACTTTAATCCCAAGGATTCTCACAAAAACATATTACAAATGACAGCATGAAAAAATAATCTTGCACAGTAACTCAAAGTTCAGCTCTACAATGTACCCTTAAACTGGCAGAACGCTGGTATTTTTTGAAATCTCAAAAGTTTTCCAATAGACTGTTATACAACAGCAATGTATACAAGATCGCAATTACAGAATAGATTTATGACCTAAATGAAGGTAAACGATCTTGAAACTTACCAAATTCTAAACCAACTAGACAACATCTGCCCAGGATAAGACTATCTGGGTTTTTCAAAACCTCTAATCTATTTTAACATACAGCTTTTATCTTTACCTGCTGGCTTACATCACAGCAGCTTTTACAAACTGCTTGTTTATCTAAAGCTGCATACTAATAAACCAGCTATAAGAAAGTACATCTTAGGTCAATTCTGACAGTGTTATTTAGCTGGGCAAGATTTAGGTCAGTCTATGTAAGACTAAAGTTCAAAACTAAATTCAATCTTGCTTAAGGGAACATTGTAAAGTAACAATTCTTGGTATCACATGCCTCATATGATCCATTTCAAACCATAGAGAATTTTTGTGTGCCACTGTTCCAACAGACAAATTTGAACACCTAAACATCTTAAAAAATGCACCAAGCTTATGAAGTCTCAAACAAAACTTGAATTTTCTGTACATACTCCTGGCAAATGGAAGTTATTTCCTGTACACTACTTCTCTTGCAAACTGGTCTTCTATTTTCTTTCATTTGACCTAGATCGGCTGGGGGGAGGGGAAAAAAAAGAACAAAATTCAATGTTTTATTTATAACCTACTGACACTCAATGATATAACGTCAAAATAAGTTTTTAAGAGTACAAACATATGACTCAGAAGCCAGACTTTACTATGAATGCCAACTAATTACAAGTCCTCAAGCAGCAGCTCTTACCTCCGAGACCTAGAGAAGGAGCGGGACGGCTTGTGATTTCTCTCCCGAGACAGTGATCTTTCTCTTCTCCTGTCTCTAGAAAGGGACCTAAATGGAAGAACAGTAATGTCTTTCAGTTGGCATTACTACTTGACAAATATTTCCTGTTTTTGAAAAACCTACACCTTAGCATTTACTCCTATAAACCTGAATCACATTAGAAGCATCAGAAGCATTCCTGAGAACATGGCCAAAATGGCTATTTACCTGCTGCGGCTGCGAGAGAAGCTTCTCCTTCTTGGAGATCTAAAAGCAGAAATAGGAAAATTAGGCTAATCATCATCAACTAGTACAGATGGCGTGAGGCATTTCCCAACTTCTCAATCTCACTGTTGGGCCCAGTGAATGTGCCGAAGAACTGGCACCCATCGTCAAAAAAATAAAAAAAAATAATAAATAAATAAGAAAAGAAAAAAAGGGGAACACAGAAGGATTAAGGAACAAAAAGCTCAAGTGAGAAGCAGGTATTCCAACCAGGGATTCAGTTTAACAAAGAATGCTTCACAGCAGATCTGTCCAATGCAAAACTTCATGTCAAACTACCTTCACTACCCAAACACCACACCAAAATGTAGTCCCAAGTAGTTCCAAAAACAGTACCATAAACCAGTATTTGGAACCCATGCAAACCTGTAAGTCCATGACAAGACTTAGGTACCAGGTGGATAGTGTAATCTTGTGAAAACGCGCTAGGTGTAAATAATGATGCCATTAAAGTGCTACATTAGAACTGCATTTGTGATTGTAACATTAAGGGTGTGTTTAAGCTTACCAAAATTACCTTAGCTTGGCCCACACTTCACCCCCAATATTGTAAAATTTTGAAAACTGTTAGTAAAACCATTTAAAGGTGATAGGATTCGGTTTTTTTTTCTCTGCTAGAAAGAAAAGCTAAAATCTGTTAGAGTTATTAAAAATTTTAGTTTGGCATCTCACACATGCAAATAAGTTTCACTTGAAGGTCTGGTTACATTATGAGTTCCCTATCACCCTTAAAAGTTTTTTTTCAAGCAATATATATGTACGTTACCATTCAATTATGCACAGCCAGCCTTTGATCCAGAAAAAGAATTACTTTAAGCCGCTTACTCCTTATTTTAACCAGCAGTAAACTGTATAAGCAGGAAAAACTTACTAGTTTTGGGTTTCAACAAGCTAGAAATGGTGAGGTGAGGCTGCCGGACTGACGGCCAGGAAGAATTTGCTGAAAAGGTTTTGCCAGATGTTGCGTTGGATTTAGTTGGTTGGCGAAGGGGGTGTTGTGGATTTTTCCTGCTTTTTTGTTAGCCGAAGGCTGCTGCTGTAGTTGTTGTGAAGACATTTGGTAAATAAACAGCTGAGCTGATTGGCCAGGAATGTGTGGGCGGTCGAGGTGGCTGCTGCCGATTTGGTTAAGGTTGGAGAGAAGGCTGAGAGAATACAGCATGCTCGGGAACCAAAGGGCGGTGCAACCTGACGACTGGCCAGCCTGGGTCATGTGAAACGACACCAGCCAAGCTGAATGGGGCGCGCTGGTCACATGACGCTGAAAGGGCTAGTTGACTGGCTAATGCAGATTCAGAGGGTGGTGAGAAGAGACATGATGGTGACTCTGTAACGGGGTTCATTTTTATTAATAGATGGACCAAAAAGCACAAAAAAAATGAAAAAAACAAGCCATCAGTACAACCATCTATTAGCTAACAAATACTCTTTATTAAGATGGGCAACAATGTGTTGTTTTTCAAAATAGCAAAAGGGGCAAGATTTTGAACTCCTATCTCCTAGGACTTCACTCACCTGTAAGAGGCAAATTGAGTCCTACAGAAACTACTTTGGAAGTTTGAGGAGATGTGGAGTTAACATCCAGACAATATTGTCTGGGTCCAAGAATGATGCAATTTTTCAATTATAAAAAAGCTGAATTCTTTCCTATTTTGGGATTGAAGAACAGATGACTGGGATCACTGCCTCAGTCCCCTTTATTGGTCAGTGATTTAAGTCAGTTTCAGAATGATTTCTACTTTACCAGTTGTCACATTAAACAGCTGCCTTTTTGATAATTATTACAATTGTGCTAGTAGCAGAAAACAAATTTGTGAAGAGCTAAGGTTGAATGTAATGTTTGTCATCATGGAGTCAAGAAATGGAAAAAGGCCTAAGCTGAAGTATAAGGGAAGACTTGGAAAGATGCAACTAGAAGATGAACTATAGAAGATAGATCCAAGATAGAAGTTACTACCAACATGAACAGTAGCCTAAAGACAAAAGCCAACACTCGGCACAACTCTCATAACCCAAATGCACCCAGCCAATGAACGTTCATAGAAACCTCCAATTCGTCACAGTTTAAAACCCAACAAACTTTAGGAGAAATACCTGCTCCTACTAGCTACTTCATTATGCCAATGCCTCTAAACACACGCTCTCAAGTACCTGCGTCGAGGTGGAGGACTTCTCCGACGATAATCGTCTCGAGGGCGACGACCCCAAGAGGGAGGCGGACCACGATTTCGACTTCTTTTTTCGCCATTCGACAGCTCCACTCTCACACGACAGCCACACAGTGTTCTAGGTAAGGGGAAGATAAATGTGAAAATCCTGGAGTTGTATATTGAAGTGGTTATTTTCCCAGTTCCACGCTTAGGCAAAATAGCACGTTTGAATGCCTATAGGAACCCTTCTACCATCACGAAAGCTTCAGTTCCTGTTATTTTATCTCAACACATAAAATGGCGGTACAAAGTGTTCTCACCTTAATTTCAAACTAAATATACCCCTAATTAGAACTTCCTTAGAGTAACAACTCACAAGGAAACCATCTCTTTCAGGCTTGTAAGGACCAGTCAGTCTGGTCACTGGGCTCAACACTGATTGATGAGTTGTGATTTCAGCGGGAAGATTCCTGCCCTTGTGTTCCATCAAGATTTCGTCCTCCCCTGAGGTCCCTGCGTCTATACTGCAGTTGCCATACTAGCACCAAACAGTTTGTTTAATGGTCTCCTTTTTCCCTCCCTAATAAAAGGGCTCCAAGGCTAGACAGCCATTTTACATTGCCCTCTTTCCTCCATGACCACAGCAATTGGCACATAAACAATTACAGCTGCAAAGTTACTCTCTCCCCCTTGGCCACAATCTGTAAGTTTAGCCACTTGCTCCAGGACAGAAATTCTCAAGCAGATTGTGAAGCCAAAGGATTAAGATTTTTATCTCATAAATTTCAATGATTTTTCAATGTCAACAAGAGGGAGAGAAGAAGGGTTACTGTATTAGCAGCCAGTTAATAAGATACTATAAGCGCAGAGGAAAATAACCACCAATCCACAATTCCAGGATGGAATACTATACATAGAAAGCATATAAAATCCTGGGTAATTACAATTTCATAAACATCTTAAAAACAATTACCAAGTCATGCGGACTCCTAGAAATAAAACGGTATTTGATCCCACAATTATTTCCAGACTCCAGGAAGTGGCATATGACGAAGATGCTAAATATCAAAAACACAGGCAACCCATGTATGACAAGGCTACATTAACCCCAAATTACCTTCCATCTAGCTCGCGGACAGCATCAGCTGCATCCCGGGGGTCTTCGAATTCAACAAAAGCAAAGCCAGGAGGGTTTCTTGCAACCCACACACTTCGGAGTGGTCCATAGTAGCCAAAGGCCCGTTCCAATTCAGTCTTGTTGCCATTGTTTCCAAGATTACCTACATAAACCTTACAGTCCAATGGACAGGAATCACGATGCATTTCTGCAACATATGAGAGAACAAAAATATTAACTTACATCAAACCATTCGGAGTTGAGAAAAATTCCAACACAAGCAGAGCAGTACTCTAATGCAATCAGTCCTTATGTTCACTAACCCCCCAAAAATTAGAAAGTTAAGGCGGGGGGGCGGGGGGTGAAATACCTCTCACCAGGTGAGAACACCAGCAGTGGAGAGCAAAATGCCACAATCCGGCCATGCATTACGACCCTTTTCAGTCATTTAAGTACACCATCCCAAAAATACTTAGAACACCTACCCAGGTTGCAAAAAAAAAAAAAAAAAAAAAACAAACCTTGACAATTAAGAAAAGCCAGTAGGTAAGATTAAACCACCAGATAGGGAGTAAGAAAAAGTGACTCCATCAGCCAAACCCAGATTTCAGAACCAAGGTACTACTCCGCACGGGCCTGTAACTAGATCCAATTTTCACACAGTGAGAAACTCCTCACGCAGCAACAACAAGTCTAAACGGCAATCTCTCCATTAACAAAGATGTTACATCAAAAGTCCAGCCACAGAGAACCAACTGAGTAAGATGTGGGAAGTACTCGGGAATAAAGCTCTAATAAACGCTCCAACGTGTGGCAACTTGAGTATCACACCAAGATCAGGCACCCAAAGGCACAGGTTATCCCACGCGCGATTCCGAGAAAGCAGCAAATCCAGAAGCGCCAGGCTTACCGGGAAGAAAAGGGAACGGCAACGCAAATCAGCCCGAGTCCCGTTAGGATGGGAAGAAAATGGTGTGGAATAAGCCAACGCTGCAAGCCCGGGAGGAACTAAGAGCTTAAATGTCTCCTCGTGGCGTAGTAGGTCCCAAGAAAAGCTGCACTCTGAGGACGTATTTCAACTTCACGATCACTTTGCCATAAACTTGTAGCCCAGGCTCAATTACACAAAAGCCAACCATTCGGTAATTCAGCGGAAAACGCTTTGCACACGCCACCTTCTTCTCACTCTGGGATTACCTCATTAAAAAAAGAATCCAGTCCAGACACATTCTACCTGCCCTGACCCCACCCTGTGTGCCCACGAGTTCGTTCGGAGCACAACCTGGAAGGGTAAAAATGGCCTTAGGGGAAAAAAAAAAAGAAAGAAAAAAAGCTGCCGTGCCCAGGGCCCTAAATGTTAATGGGGAAACAGCACCAGCAGAAACGCAGCCCAACTTCGTTCATAAAGATTCTTTTTAAGACGCTTAAATTCGGGCCGTGAAATGCTGAATTAAAATCATAGGTTCACGTAAGTGAGGACGGAAACCCTTCCAGACTTGAACAACGACAGCAGGAGGGGGAAAAATCCCAAGAATGTCTGCAAGAAAATGAAGGACTAATGGGAGGGGGGAAAAAAGGCGCCATAAAAATTCAAAGACCGCGGCCAGAAAGACGGTTCCCTTAGCGACTCCCAGTTCCCGTCCCGCCGCCGGGGTCACCCCCACACGCACACATCCCACACCCTCACCCTCGGACGTGCGCCACCACCACGACTCCGAGCCCAGGAAACACCCCCAGAAGCGCAGGGAGCCCCCCGCCACCGCCCCGTGCCGAACGTCACAAAATGGCGGCGGCGTCTTTGTCTCGCTCGGACTCCGCCACCGCCGGGCCCGCTTCCCTCTGCCCACCACCAGGCGCCACGTCCGACTGCACGCTGGCCGTCTCTCGTCGCTTACCGAAATCTTAAAAAGGCGGAGGTTCAACTCCACACGCTCCGACACAGATGCTCCCTCCGCGGCGGGCCCGGCTGCAACAGAAACCCACTCCACCCGGTGTCCACGAAATGGCGGCTCACCGCCTTCTCCTCGCCCATATTTATACGCCATTCTGGAGTCACATGATTGGACGGGCTCGCCCAATGAAAGGCGGCGGACGCCGTGACGTAGCACGCGCCCGGGCGTTCCGTCGGGAGGGTGGAGCCACAGCCGGCGCGCGCCGGCGCCGCCACCTGTCCCGCCCACGCGTGTTTTTCCGTTGGAGATGAACTTCTTCGCTAAACCCCGCGCTCCAGTGAGGCGGGCCTTATCGGAGAACGCCGTCCGTCCCCAGGGCCTGGCTGGAACCGTTGGCTCCTAACGACACGAAGGTCTTGGTGGGGTTTTTCAATGACTTGTCACCCTGGCCAGCGGTGAGGCTGCACCGTTTTTGGCTGGTCGGTGCTTCCAAGGTGACCTCGGCTGCCACCGGCCTTCAGGGCCGTCCAGGTGCCCACACTGAGGGAAACAGCTGGGCGGTTTGCCCAAACCCAGCTGGTTTCCCGCCTCACACCCACGCTGGGGAGACTAGGCACGGCCTGCAAATGAATGAAAACGATTACCTTGAGCAAATGACGAGAAAAGGGGGTGTCAGAAGAAGAAGGTGGCGTTTGCCTGTGGGGTCCCCGAAGCAGAAGCCAGGTAGGGCGGCACAGGCCTTGCTCCGCCCGGCGCAGGCTGTGTAGACCTGGTAGGAAGACATAGCCACAGACACCAGAGCTAACTATTGGAGGAGAAATAATGCCATTGCGTCGGAAAAAATCCACCAAGATCTCCCTTCCCTGAACAATTCGGCTGGGGAGTGTGTTCTCGCCCCCAAACTTAACCACCGCCTCCCTTCCAGTCTTATCGCTTAGATTTTGTGGTCTATCCCTACAACAAAAAAGAATAACTATTTCGGTCTCCCAATACCTCTCTAAGCTCAAATAAAAGCCAGTTATTTACCTATTTTTTTTTCACTCTGTGTTACTGTGCTTAAAAGTGGTTTTATCTTTAATTAGGGGGAAGCAGTGCAAAGATTGAATGTCCATGAATCTTAATTTCCTCACCTGAAAAATGGAAACCATAGTTACTGAGCCCTACCCAGTGCTGACTTTCTCTGGCTTATTCCCCAGGTGAGCTCAAAAGGGACTTTTAAATCTCCTTTAGGTTGTCTTTCCTTTTGTAGCTCATTTGTTCTTTATGATTATTTTCATTTTTATTTGAAAGGCAGAAGCTTCAGTGAGTTTTACCGCTCCTTCCCCCTCCTCGCACCCTCCCAATGCTGAGCAACAGCCAGGGCTGGGCCAGGGTGAAGCTGGGAGCCAGAAACTACACAGGCCTCCCTTGCCAGGGAGCTTCTTGTGAGGTGCCCACAAGGGTGCAGGGCTCCAAACACTTGGGCCATCTTCTGCAGGGAGCTGGTCAGAAGCAGAACAACCAGAACTCAAGTTGGTGCTTGTCCAGGTTGTTGGCATCACAATGCTGCACCCACATGGGAGACTGGGAAGAAGTGCCTGGCTCCTGACTTCTGACTGGCTCAGCTTCAGCGGTTGCAGCCACTTGGGGAGTGAACCAGGAGATGGAAGATCTTTGTCTCTCCTTCTCTTTGTAAATCTGACTTTCCAATAAATAGAAATCTTAAAAAAAAAAAAAAAAAGGGCCGGGCATGGTGGCTTAGCAGCTAAAGTCCTTGCCTTGCACTCACTGGGATCCCATCTGGGCACCGGTTCTAATCCCGGCACCTCCACTTCCCATCCAGTTCCCTGCTTGTGGCCTGGGAATGCACTCGAGGACAGGCCAAAGCCTTGGGACCCTGCACCCACTTGGGAGACCAGAAGAGGCTCCTGGCTCCTGGATTTGGATCGGCTCAGCACTGGCCGTTATGGTCACTTGGGGAGTGAATCATCAAATGGAAGATTTTTCTTTGTCTCTCCTCCTCCCTGTATATTTTCCTTTCCGATAAAAATAAATAAATCTTAAAAAAAGGAAGAAAATAATTACACATAATTACAACAGTCTTTTAAAAATGTATAGCAGTTGTCCTTGGTCCCCTGCAACCTGGAAGGGTCTCCAGGTTCCTGGGTTAAGATTGGCTCAGCTCCTGCCACTGCATCCTCTGGGGAGTGAACCAGCAGTTAGAAGATCTCTGTCTCTATGTGTGCCTCACCTTCCCTGTAACTCTGTCTTTCAAAGGAAAATAAACCACTCTGCTTAAGCACTTGACAATTTAATTCCCTTCCATATAGGAAACATTTATTCATTTAATATATTTGATTTCCTAAAGCATTTCAAAGGTTTGTCAGAGTAGACAAAATTCTGGAAAGTAAGACATCCCATCAGAGGTCAGATTGCAAGCAATGGTCTGTCAGTGGGCAAAAGTTGGAGTTCAAGGTTGCAGCCTGTCAGTGAAGGTCTGCGGTTGGGCAACAGTCTAAGCCTATACAACTGTGATCTGTTAAGATATCCTTGAGACAGTCACAAACTGACTTCTGTACTTAGGTCATATCGCTGCTTCCTGGTAGTTAGCATCCATACGGGATGTAACTAACAATGTTTGTGCCATACCTATTCCTGTGATTTGACTCCCAAGCAGTTCAATGAAAGATTAAGGCAGGCCCCAGCATGGCAGGCTAGTGGCTAAATTCCTCACTTTGCATGCATCGGGATCCCATATGAGTGCCAGTTAATATCTTGGCTGCCCCACTTCCCTCCAGCTCCCTGCTTGTGGCCTGGGAAAGCAGTAGAGGATGACCCAAAGCCTTGGGTCCCTGTACCCATGTGGGAGACCTGGAAAATGCTGCTGGCTTTGGCCTGATCATGGCGACCACTTGAGGAGTGAACCAGCAGATGGAAGATCTTTCTGTCTATGCTCTGTCTGCTAATCTTCCTTTCCAATAAAAATAAATAAATCTTTGAAAAAACTTCTTGATAAAAAGAAACTATCTCATCTCGTTCCCCTTTTGTTGAGATAAGAACCGGTGCCCATATGGATCCCGGAGCATTCAAGGCAAGGACTTTGGCTGCTAGGCTCCCATGCCGGTCCCTTCCTCCCTTTTAAATAAGTGAAAAAACACATGCATATACACACAAACATTTTAAATGTTTGGGTTTCATGCCTGGGTCAGGCTCCATTGCAGGTATTTGGGAAGTGAACCAGCAGGAGGCAGCTGTGTTGTTTTCTCTCCTGCCTCCCACTACTTCCACTACTTAAAAAAAAAAAAAAAAGCAAATGAAAAACCAAAGTAACTGGAAAAAAAGCAATAAATCCAAAGAAGATATACAAATGATTAACAAGCACATGAAAAGGTAAAGAACATTGAACATCATTAGTCATTAGGAGATGCAAGTCAAAACCACCATGTGATATCGCCTCACACTGCTGAGGAAAATTCTAAGAAAAAATACACATAGCCAGTGTTGATAAGGACGTGAGAGAATAAACCTTCATACGAAGCTGATGAGAATGTAGAACTATGTAGCTGCTGTGCAAGAACAGTTTGATGGTTTCTCAAAAAAAATTAAGAAAAAAACATAGTTATGTTTAACTCAGTGGTTTAATTTCTAGGTGTACATGTCAGAGAACTGAAAAGCGGTACTCAAACAAGGACATGTCCATGCTTGTCACAGCAGCCCAGTGTAAACAGCCCCAGTGTCCATTCACACTGAAGCAGAATGTGCTATATACAGACTGTGAAATAGGGTTTACATAATGTAACCCTTGACATATTTTATGAAGTAAAAAGTCCAGATACAAAAGGACATTTACATGAAACAGCAGACATTTACAGAGACAAGAATGCAAATTGGTAGTTATCAGGGATGGGGGACTGGAGATGGGAACAATATCTTAATAGGGACCAGATTTCCTTTTGGGGTGATAAAAATGTTTTGGTAAGGGCTAGTGTGATGGCTCAACAAGCTAATCCTCCACCTTCCAGCACTGGCAGCCCATATGGATGCAGGTTTCTGTCTTCCAGCCCGTTACTTATGGCCTGAGAAAGAGGGTGGTTCGATGCCTTGAGACCCTGCACCTGTACAGGAGGCCTGGAAGAGGCTCCTGGCTCCTGGCTTTGCTGTGGCCATTTGGGGAGTGAACCAGTGGATGGAAGAGATTCATCTCTGTCTCTCCTTCTGTCTGTGAATCAGTGTTTCCAATAAAAATAGATAAATCTTTTTAAAAAATGCTGAGCACCACTGAGTTTTTATTTAAACTGGATATGAACCTGTATCTAAGTGCCAGCTTTGACTCCTAACTCCAACTTCCTGCCAATGTGGACGCTGGGAAATCAATTTTCTGTTCATTGAGTTCCCAGCCATCTTCAACCTGGCCAAGTCGCAGCCATTGCACACATCCAGAGAGTGAAACAATGGTTAAAAGTTCTCTCTACTTCTACTTTTAAAATACTTGAAAGGGGTTAATTTTCTATTATGCTTTAAATGATAATAAAGAATATGTATTTGTTATATATAACAGATATACATTTCTATTACATATAAATGGCTTATTTATAAAAATGTATTGACGGGCCTGATGCAATAGCCTAGCAGCTAAAATCCTCGCCTTGCATTCAACAGGATTCAATATGGAAGAACCAGCAGATGGAATATCTTTCTCTTTAGCTCCTTCACTCTGTAAGTCTGACTTTTTAAAAAAAACAATCTTTTAAAAAAGTATTGGATATATAAATGATGATAAAATAATTCATATTTATATTACATATTATTTGTAGTTTACATCTTAAGCCCTGCCATAATCTTCTTTGCCTTGATTTCTTTTAAAAATTTTTAAAGTTGGGGCCCAGCAGCATGGCCTAGCAGCTAAAGCCCTCGCCTTGAATGCGCCAGGATCCCATATGGGCGCCGGTTCTAATCCCAGCAGCTCCACTTCCCATCCAGCTCCCTGCTTGTGGCCTGGGACAGAAGATCTTCTTCTCTCTCTCTCCTCCTCTCTGTATATCTGACTTTCCAGTAAACAAATAAATCTTAAAAAAAAAAAAAAGTTGAAATTTGGGCCCGGCTGCATGGCCTAGCAGTTAAAGTCCTCGCCTTTTACGTGCTGGGATCCCATATTGACACGGGTTCTAATCCTGGCAGCTCCACTTCCCATCCAGCTCCCTGCTT